AAAAAATGCTGTTTTAGCGCATCCCTTCACCACAAAGTGCCCCCCAAATCAACCGCATCGGCAGAACCACATGTGATCTGCATGCGTCCCTTGCAGGTGGAGGAAGAAAATGTTTGAGGATAGCAGGGAGGACTTTTGTTTGACATGTGCATCATGTATTCACATGCGTCTAGGTCAAGGCAGACAGGCAGGCAGGCTGCATTTCCTGTTCAACTTGGATGAATTCAGCAGCTAAGCATGCACAAGTGATGCTTTCAAAGGGCCAATTCGAGCTGTCTCAAACAGGAGTCAAGCCTCTAATTGGTATGCTTAGCAGGTTTCATTTTAGCAGGGCTCTGTTCTGATTCACCACCGCTGTCCTCTCTCTCTCACCCTCTCCATTTCTCCACCTCGTTCTGCTGTTTGTCTGACTTCCTCTGCAGTAAGCTCTCTAGCTCTAGGGAAGAAAAGCAGCTCGGTGACTGATACAAATTTGGGGCTTTATTAATGATTGGTGGAATAGTAAAGCAGATGAGAGGCAGACGCTCTGGCTTTCTGTGCTCGAATAAGGACACTGCTGTGCCCCTGCTGGCTCTTTATGATGAGCTAGAGAGAGGGAGAAGTTCTGCCCAGACATGCCCAGAAATCCTGACTTCCCGCTGGGGAGTGATGATGTGCCCAGCTGGATAATCTTTACTACAAATCCCAGAATGCTTTGAGCCAGCTGGAGTGGAAACAGCGAATGCCAAAGCAGTCAGAGCTACACCGCTGAATATTCCAGCAGCGCTGCTGGGGCTCACAGCATAGCCAGACTTGTTGCTGGATCAACACGCCAGATGTTGGGGTGAGAAGCCCTTAAAGGCAAGAAAATTCTTGCTTTGTGTTGCTGTGAATGTAATCCTCTCCTCCAACCCTTGGCACAAATGCTTTTACAGTATCCTGCAGTCATAGAGTCAGCAAATACTGTAATACTGTAGGGAAAGTAGACGCTGAGCAGAGTTTATTCCTTGGGCCAAGAAAGTGCCTATTTATAGCATATTAAAGCAGGAAGTGTGCACCTAAAAATGAAAATTTATGTAATGTATGTAAATATTTGCATTTTAATTTAATTTCTTGTTAATGTACATTTATATACACAATTATACACACAATTTGGAAACAAGTAGTTTTAAATTCCATGTTGTGGCTGTAGTAGCATGTAAATCTTACACTTTAACAAGCAAAACTTCAGGGAAAATACTGTGATCAAATGGCAGCTAATTCTCACGCTGTCTTGAAAGACGAGCAGCCTGTTGCCCTCTTCATCACTATCTTCCTGTTTCTCACAAGTTCTTTCTTGGTATCCCGCTCTCTTTTCACCCACTTGTCTCCCATCTCCCTTTGTCTCCCTGTCGCTCTGTCTTGTTTCTAACAGCCTTTGCCTGTCTATCTGCCCTTCTCTCTCAGTGGGGTGTATAGACAGAATGATGATTATTAAAGTATGGTGAAGATGGCCTGACTCAGACTCTGTGTTCTGCTGTATCTCCAGTTGAATCTCCCATAGGCACATCTCTGCAAGTTTGGCTTTATATTCCACCCTTGTATTTTGAGTTGCTAGCTTCAAACATTAAAATGGATGGATACCGAGAGCTCATTTATCAAAATGCATAGAGCTTTTTGAAATATACTTGCTTGAATATGGAGTCACTCTTGTTTAGTCTTCCTCAGTCTTTTTAATTGAGGTATTTCGAATAATTTTTAGGTATTGTAATCTGTATTTATTACATAGACATGGAAGACCATCTCGTTTTAATTTCTCTTTCATACAGTCATCATTTTGTCATGGGAACTTCACATTTTCTAGGTTTTCTTGCCCCATTTTTATACAGTATGGCTAACTAAGCACTATTTTAACTTGGCTGAATACTGAGGTCTTAAATTGCGTGCACCAGAATTTTACATAAAATCGTAATTGGTGCATTTTGCGTGGCAGAATTATGCATATGACATCTGTGAGTGTCTTTCCAGCCCTAAGCAGCTCAAGTATGCATCTGCAGTCTAGCTGTTGTTTAAAATAATGGAAATTTGACATTTTCCCAAATGCTTTATGGCATTTGGGGCAGAGTTATTGAGATGTAGGCATTGTTGGGAAGCTGGCTTGGTGTAATTATGTGCAGGCACCCTCAAGTCCTGCTTGTTCAGAGCATTTCAATGCAAAGATGTGGGGCCAGACTCTTTGAACATTATAACTGTGAAGAAACTATTGTTACCTTGGAGACTGGTGAAACATCGTGAGGTATTGATATCGGATGGTCAAACTATGGGGAAAAATAAGTACTGTGCTTTTTACTGCACAAACGACTGGTAAATGGAGCTAGTGATGTGTTCAGTCGGTTGGCAGCACTGCAGTGCAGGCTTTTTGTTTTACACATATAGGAATGTCTAGGAACTAGTCAACTAATTGATTAGTGAGAATGACTAATTTTTTTTTGCAGCCGAGGTGCTTTGAAGGGAAAGATGCAAATTCAACATCTTCAGCGTGCTGACGGTGTGCTTTGAGCTTTTGCATGCTAAAAAGATTTGCAGTAACTGTCAACAAACTAAATCCCAAGAAGTTGTCTTCAGATTTACCCACTGCAACTGCATCGATCAAATGAGCACTTCAACAATAAGTTTAAAGAAAATTGCTAGTTTTGTGCCATGAAATAAAGCCACTTAATTATATAGGGTGCCATTAACAACTCTGTCTTGGTGTTCCGGCTCTTTACCACTTAGCATCAAATTTTCACCCTGAATACATATCTGTGCAAATACCTAAATTAGTAAATGTTGCAGTTGAGAATTGGTAATAAGCTAGCTGTTGATGTGAGATCAACTGTTGGGTGAAAAATGTGCAAATTGTGACTCTTGAACTGTAGTTGTGTTTATACTTCAAAAATATTCCTTAAGAGCAAGCACATAGAGGGCTGTTTTCTTCTGATGGATGCGCAAGGATTTTGTTTTTCTTCTAGTAAAATCATAAGGACAGTTTGGCTGTGAGCCCTCGGTGGGCCTGATCACCTGCCACGATGGGGAACCGAGTGAATTTGACTAGCAGATGCAGCTGGACAGGTGACTGTGGAGCGTTAGGGTATCTGCAGGCAACAGTCAAAGATCCTCAAAACAACCAGTGTGTTGAACGTGCTTTTCACTTTAGATATCAGTCGAAGTATTTCTGTACAGACGCTTGTCTGACTCACCATCCGTCTCGACGTGTTTTCTTGTCTAGTTTATTAAATGGTGCATCTGTATCATTAGGCCCACACAGAGTCTACGCCTCAAAGCGCCACAAATGAATCTGAACGCCCATCTTTCACACGCTTCTACACGTCCCTGCCCCATGCATGTCCGTTTTTGAAATATTCTGGCTAATTTTGTGTTTTCAACTGCCAGTAACTCTTATAGTAGCACTTTCTGCTCCATTTAACACATTTTAACATGCTTAAATGTTACACAGATTTTTCCCCATAATCAGTGTCGAAAAATGATTATTTGACAGAAAGTAACTGCTGTCTCTCTCTCTCTCTCTCTCTCTCTCTCTCTCTCTCTCTCTCTCCCCCCCTCCCTCTTTCTCTTCTCTCTCAGCTCTCTGCGAATACACACACACACACAAAACACACAAACAGCATGTCTTAAGGTGTGTAGTCTAATATGTTGTGACAGAGTTGGAGGTCATCATTTCTGTTTTTATTCTATTCTAGTGTTCTTGTCACAGTAGGGCTTTGAATACCACAGACTTAGTTTCCCTGTCCGTTTTTTTAATATTCTGGCTAATTTTGTTTTCAACTACCAATAACTTTTATAGTAGCACTCTCAGCTCCATTTAACACATTTTAACATGTTTAAATGTTACTCAGATTTTCCCCCATAATCAATGTGGAAAAATTGTGTTTTACAGAAAGTAACTGCTGTTTTCTCTCTCCCTGTAGTGTCCAGATTCAGCTTGCAAGCAGGATCTGTTGGCCTATCTGCAGCGTATAGCCCTGTACTGTCACCAGCTCAATATCTGCAGTAAAGTCAAAGCAGAGGTGCAGAATCTGGGTGGAGAGCTCGTGGTGTCTGGGGTAAGTCCTCATTTACTGAGAGGGAGAAAAGGACAGACAGACTTGTGCCTCTGTGGTGAAAAACCTAATTATCTGAAGCAAAATAAAATTACTGTTATTTTCTCCCACCCTTACCTCTATGACAAGAACAACTCATACTGCTAAGCTAATTTATTTTCCTGTTTTTGTTTTACAGCTCAATAGTATTTCCAGCTTGCCTATTCCCAGCCTTTATTTGAAACTAAGTTGCTATTTGTTTAATTTTAGTAATATTAATTACTTTGATGCATCAATAGGGGTTTGTATTTAGACTGTCTTTGATTGTCAAAATCTTTGCCCAGTAAAAGCAAATGTTGTTTTTGAAGTGTTTTACCTGCAAATATGTCATTTAATTTGCAACCAGCTATTTTGATAAATATTGGTAAATTAATCAGAATAGCTGGATGATATTAAGCTGATATTAAATAGAATAGCTGATATTAAAGGTCATAAATTTGGGGTTAAATAAAGGGTTTCTGCAGTCTTTGAAAACCTGAAAAATGTAAAGTTGTGGAAATCAATCAAATCTTAAATTCTGTAATGAATATAAATTATAAAGATATTTAAGTGCTTGTGTAGAGTAGAACATACCTGCAACTAGAAAATTGAAGACATTTGCAGGTTATTAATTCTAATCATTTAAACCTATTTGTTCAGAAGATTAGTGTCGATATACAAGCTGAATCTGTCTGTCATCTCCATCAAATTCTATAAAAGAGAAATCCATATCCAATAATCATAAATGACTAAAAGTGTCATGGAAATGCTAATTCACTGTAGAAAGTGTGGGAACTCCTCTAAAGGTCTTTGCAATTTCCCCTCAACTTGCAGGTGGATAGCGCTATGTCTCTGATTCAGGCGGCCAAGAATCTGATGAATTCTGTGGTGTCCACCGTGAAGGCCTCTTACGTGGCCTCCACCAAGTACCAGAAGTCTCAAGGAATGCAAAACCTCAACATGCCCGCCATCTCCTGGAGGATGAAAGCTCCCGAGAAAAAGCCGCTGGTCAAACGCGAGAAGCAAGATGACGGTCAGACCAACAAAGTGAAGCGGTCCTCTCAAAAGAAGCACATCAACCCTGTGCAGGCCCTGAGCGAGTTCAAAGCAATGGATAGTATTTAAACGGCCTTTACCGCATTTCAGTAGATTATGCTTCAGAAGTAGATTGAGCGTAGATTGAACCTTAAAATCAGTCAGACTTAGCGAGTACACATTTAAACGCATTCCTGTACCTTAGTCACCAATATGCCTTTTTCCATAAGCAGTGGCTGAGTGCACTAAGGTCTATATAGCAAAAGTTATATTTTTACACACGAATGCATTAATCTGCTCAATCTTTACACAAGATTTCTTCCTGAGGACAGGTAGGGGCATACATAAAATTTTGGGCATTCCCTCACAGTTTATATGCATGTTTCCTTCTTTTCTAGATGACTATTGTGTATTTTTAAAAACATTTAAATGTATTTTACAAGAAGACTTTTATATATTTCACACTAAGGGCTCTGATATTGCCCACTACTGTCTGATTTTTGTTTTTCCTTCCATTCTTCATGCCTATGCAAACTCACTATGTTTCCTTCTTTTCTAGATGACTATTGTGTATTTTTAAAAACATTTAAGTGTATTTTACAAGAAGACTTTTATATATTTCACACTAAGGGCTTTGATATTGCCCACTACTGTTTGATTTTTGTTTTTCCTTCCATTCTTCATGCCTATGCAAACTCACTGTAACACTTGCAATACTTGTTTTGGTATGAAACTATAAAAGAAAAACAGGCTTTGATTTAGTGTCAGTCTCAAGACCAAAGTCTTTGTATTTTGCTGTGCCTAATAAACTTTTTGATAACTCTTTTGTTTTATCCTTTGATTAACTGTAAAATAGACTTAAGTTTGGTGAATATTAATGCTTTCTATCTTTAAGAGAAATAATGCTGCATGGAAAATAGGGAATTGATGTGAAACTCGAGAAACAAAGCCAAACTAGTTGCTTGTCGCAGTCACTAGAGTTGTCTAAAAAGAGAACAATCTCAATAATGCCCTTAGTAATTTCAAGGAGCAGCGGGGCAAAGCTAAATGCGAGTGAGAGGCTGAGAGCGAGCGAGTTCAATCTTCAGCCCTGTGTGTAAATTCAGAAGACTGGCCTTAGGCCTCTCTTCTCATACTCCTTCCCATCCTCCCACCCCTCCATGACTCAGACACTGATTAAATGAATCAACACACCTCTTATTCGGAGGAGTGGAGAACTCTTGGGCTAAATGGCTGTGTATGGACTGGGCCAGATGTACGTGAGCCACTGAGCACCACCAGCAATAAATGGGATCAAGCACCCCGAAGGAGCTTCCAAATCACAGCGATCGATATTCCTCATAAGGCCTTGTTAGTTAATGAGTTCATCATTATCTGCTGAATATATCTTTAGGTAGGAAAACATCTCTCAGTGCTGCTGCGTTCATGTTAATTAGGTTTCGCTTGCAATAGATTGATTGTGAAAGTGCAGGATGATGCTTGATTCATTGCGAGAAGCGAATGACCTCAAATGAAGTTGCTCAAAGATTTGAATGGTCAACGGAAAAATCTTTTCACATTAGTCAGAGCAGTGGGTGGTAAAGTGTTGCTTTTTGAGCGGCGTTCTAGCCATGCATACACATTTCTATTACGCATGCATGTGTGATGACTTCTTTGAAGTAGCCTTAGGCCACTTCCAGCCTGATCCCGGCGGAAGCGCATTTACTTGTTTCTGCATTTATAAACAACAGTGTGTTGGGTCACCGGAGGTTACGTGACAGATGGCTTGAGGGATGTTTTTGATTCGGTTTGTGTGTTTAGTGCAACTTAATTGCATGTCAGAGGTTCCTGTGGATTTAGTACTGGTTTGGGATTTGCTTTCTTTTTTTTTTTTTCTGGAAATGACTGTAGTGAATAGTAGTTTGCTACAGGAGTGTTATTTTTTTTGTTGTTGCTGTTGTTTTGATGGTATGTAAAGCTTTGGGAGTTCACTGCTGATTGCTGTTTTATGCATTTGCGTTCTTGGTTCAAATAAAAAAATTAAAATGAAAACACCTAAACGCATTGTCATTTGTTACCAAATAGAAATTTGTTGTGGAGGTGTGAGAAAAAGCGAGGTCAGTTTGACATCAAGAGGGAATACACCAAATTAGATTTACAAAAGCACAAAAGATCCATCCTCTCTCAAAGTCATATTGGTCAACGCACGATTGTCAAAATGCGTGACTGCACATAAAAAGATGCAACTTTGGTTACATGCAACTTATTTCCTTTTCTACACACCATGTTTTATGAGCTTTTATGAGGGGGACGACGCCTCAGTTTTATTCCAAAACTGAGCAAAATATGTAATTTGGTGCAGTTTCAGTAAGTGTATATTTTGAAATATTACTAACAAAACAAAGTCTTAATTTCAGGTCCACGACCTTAAGGTGGACATTTTTCAGATTATATTAAAAGGTTTTTTTTCTTGCTGAAAAGGTAAAAAAAAAAAAAAAAAAACGTCAATACGACAAAAGAAAGCATGTAATACAGCAGGTTTTTCAGCAAAGTTTTTATGTTGATTATTTATAGGCCTTAGAAAGTAGACCATCAAATATGATACAGGCTTTATAGGGTTAATGCACAACATTTAGACTTTACAGTAAGGTTCAAGTTGTTAAATGCATTATGTATCATGAACTAACAAAAACAACACTTACAGCATTTATGAATCTATCTAGGCTAATATACTCTAACATTGCAAGTTAATTAACTTCACGCATGGAACATAAATTAATGATGAGCAATAGCATTTATAATTTTTTTAACCTAGATTAATGCTGAAACAAATCTTGTTTATAGTTAGTGATACCTTATGCATTCATTAATGCGCTAAAGTGTTGCTGAAACACTTTCTATAAAGCTGCTTTGAAATGATTTGCAAGTTGAATCCACTGCTTCTAAAAATGAACATTTAGATTAATATATTTATTAAAACTATAAATATAAATGACGCCATCTGTGGATTTGCAGCATTCTGACATTGCACAGATCTAGTGTGTATGTGTCTTTAGGCAAACTGATTCCCTTCTGCGAAATGCCCAAATGAGCTTACTGCGATAATGTGGTGAAACGGCTTCATATTTCTAATATAACTCGAGCCTGCGCTTTTACAGTATGTTAAATTTTGATTAATGACATCTGTTATCACACCTGAAGGTGATCTATATCAAAAGCCTCTATGGCTTGTTTAAGTACGACGATTTGCATTCCCTTGCCATTGTTTAAAATATGCTGTCAGCCATCCAGCCAGTCGCAGGTTATCAAACACTTCCCAAATTAACATCTGAAGAATATTTCATCATAATTGACATGACTCCGAGACCCGCAAGTACTTATTTTCTCCGAGCGATTATTCAAATCAAACTGCTCCTTGTTTTCGATGGCCGTCAAGCATTGCCATGCACCATATTTTACATGGAATGTCTAGTGTTATGCCACATAGATGTTCAAAATTGTTATCTTGTTTTGTTTAGCCAACAAATCCGCTTTACATTCGCACAGCTCATCCATAATGACACGTTTCTGATATTTCATTCTAGTGAGGAAAAGTGTTGAGTGTCAAAGCTCTTAGCCATGTAATGCACCTTTTCCTCAACACAGAGATTTTCGGATATGGAGTGATGTCCTCTCGTCCCCCGTTTCTTTCTCACATTACTCATACTGTCTGTGGTTGACCTTTCCCTCCAGACATTACGGTTCTCCAAATAGGAAATGTACTACAGTGAGGGAGGCAGAGTGGACAAGCTCTGTACAAGTTCACCGCTGAGACAAAGTGCTTTTACACAGGGTCTCGCTGCTAAAGCAGAGCACGAAACCTTGAGTTGAAGACGAACTCGTTCAGTGCCAACTTGAAGACGTCTGTTAGGGAAGCTCAATTGTGTGAATTAATCACGAGTAGGATTGTATAATTTGTTGTTTGTCACAAGATGTAACTGCTAACTGCTTGAGAAGCACAAAATAAACTTAAGGAAGTTGATTTCCGATGTTCCATTGTTCGGTTTTCTCACGGCTTCTTAACACCTTCCTCTTCTCTCCACATTTTAGCAGCCCACATGCTCGCATTCTGTCAGGCTTCAGCTGTCAGCTTTTATTTGGAGTATTTGATTCGAGATTCATTATAATTGCTGCATCTGTCAAGCATGTGCAGTGGGTTTGACCCGACCTGATTTCCCTCCAGTCCTTCAAACAATGGGCACCCTCAAATGTCTCCTCCTGTTGTTGGAAGGTGATCTGGGTGTTTCATGCATGCTGTTTGATGCCGAAAAACCTCTCCAGTTTTAACAGGGGTGCATCATTTGGAAATCTAGCTAAGGTCAACTTTACCTGCTGCTGGTTTTTTGACAAGCAAGGGTTTTTTTGGCATGAGAGCTTATTTTCAACTCTCTTTGGACTGCCTTTCTTGGACAATGCCAAACTGTATGATTGCTTAGGGAAACAAAAGAAAATGTATTTTTGGGCAAATTTCATTTTTAAACTTGACGTGCAACAGTATCACCTCGCCTCGAATTCTTGTTTTTTCTCTCCCAGGATCCATCAGCCAACCCGATCGCATCTGAAATTGGCATGACATGATTGGTTGAAATGTGATCAATCAAACAACGTGTTTTTTGACAGTTCAATCAATTGCAAAAGTATTCTCACAGCTTCCTGTTATGCTACAACAAATGATTCCGAGGCTTGACGCGTATGAAAAGAAATGTCTTAAGAGGTATTACCCTTCAGCTGGTCGTGAGAAGACAGGCAGCAAATTTAAATCCAGTCGTTCACACCTGAATCTCTGGACATTAAATTGACTTAAAATGGACGGCTGAGAGATTTTGTTAGATAGTTGTGCTTGGTAACATCCATCACAACAATACTGTCTTTCACACTATACAGAAAGACTCTCTTTTTGAACACTGGACATTGCTAAGGGGGCAAGGTGACTTTAACTGGCACCATGTAACCCAAAAATAGTTTCTTCAGTGGAGCACAAAAGAGAAACATTCCTTTTAATGCAATTACAATGAACTTCCAAGCTTCAAAAAGCAGAATACATGTGGTCCATTGCATGTCTGAAGTCAAACTTAGAGACTTATATTCTCCTCCAGAGTGAATGACGGAGTCGTGAGTTGAACTTGGATGTGTTCAATTCATAAATCATTCAGAGCAGTCTTGTGAACTGAATCAACTAATTCATTGAAAAGGTCAGGCTCAAACTAACAATTCATTCACAAATTGGATGTTGCTACTTCTCTTTAGTTTTATTTATTTTTTATCATACTTAACAAGCCAAGTCCTCATTCACAAAGGGAAAAATATTAAAGAATTGAATGGGTTCCTCATTTTAATGCAATAACAATGAACTTTCAAGCTTTAAAAGCACCATACAAGTGGTCCATATGACTTGTGCACTTCTCAAGTCAAACTATTACTTTGTGTGAAGACTTTATAGTCTGCTCCTGAGAATTGTTAACCACAGTGATTGAATGACTGACTTGGTGACTTAAATTCATGAGTCCAATTCATGA